TGTCTATACCTGGGATAACCTCAGTTAATAACAGTATATCGAAGAACATAATAAACTGTTTTTTGATAAAATGTAGGTTTTGGGAACTGGGTTATAGGTTCAGGAGAGGACTATTGTTTAGATCAAGTTGTTCGTTGAGGATAATAGAATTGGGATTTTTCTTTGACTTGTTTATTTCCATAGATTCCAACAAATTCATTGGAATCTCCAATAATTTTTAGTTATTGTGAGGAAGATGAGTAAATTAAATATGAACTTAACAACTTCATGCATCTGAAGGTTAATTTTATTATTGAAATCCAGTCTGATAATATTTTATGATTTAGTTTTTCCGTCATATACCGGATGTCAACAAATCTATTCAACATGACATAACTTCTATAGAAATACAAGGTGTACCAAAATCAGGTTAATAATATATAAAGAAGAGAACTTTTGCATAATTTTCACATTCCGTATACTTCCGGAGCCATTTCCGGTTTCATCGGAAATTAATCGATTTTAAATTTTTGTATTTTGACTTTTTTGAATTTCTGAGACAATGCTGGATCAGAATGTAACATTTTTGAGTTTTCACGCACACTTAATTATTTAAGAGTCACTTTCAATATTGCATAGATAGCCATGGTTAGACATAAAATAATCTAAGGAGCTCAGGTGATGTCAAAATAATTTCTTTATTTGGAACTTCGAAAAAAAATACTATGCGACAGTACTACCCATTTTTTATTTTTACGGGTATTTATACTATTCAAATGTTATATGACAAGAAGAGAGAAACAATTGAACAAGAGAAATGTACTTTGAGAATTTACTACTATGAAATGTTCAATAAATTAGAAACTTTTACAAAATGAAATCCATTTTCTTAGTTTTATCAATCAGGTTCGTTAATTTTGCCAGTTTTATTGACTCCCTCAAAAGGTTGAATTGGAACCTAATATGGAACTGGAATTGGGACCTAAAATGAATCAATTGAAATTGATTTTTCCACACCAGATCAAAAATACCGTCTTTGGAAGCGTGTTTCGGAAACCAAGTTAGCATAATCAGGAGATGAATAAAATTCTATCATCTTCTGATGATTTCTAACTCGGTCAGCAAAATACGAGTCGAGAGACAGTACTTTCTCCTGTTGTGGGAAAAGTGTATCCAATGAAATTGCCATTTTTTTTTTCAATTCGTTAACCCAATCGCAAATTATTTCATCATTAATATAAAATCTTTTTTGTGCTTATTAAAAATGACTGCCATTTTAAAAATGATAAGAAATGAAATTTTGCCATCTTGTTTTGTTTCTATCTAACATACTAGTCAATGAAACCTTGATTTCATGTCATCATCATTAGTTTACTTCTGTTAAATCTGCTAAAATATGTTTTTCCGTTAACAAACGTTAACTTGAAACAACAACAAAAAAAACAAAAACGTTGAAATTTTGTTAGATTGTCACTTGTAAAAATGCAGTTTACTAAAAATATTTAAACGGCTTCTCTTAAATTCTTCTCATTGAAAATAGGTATAATTTCAGTGACCTGCGGTATAGTGAAGCAGGTGAAATAAGAATTATGTCGGACAGTCACCTTTGATCCAACCAAATCTATAATATTTTCTATAGAATACAAGTTCAAACTAGTTTTAGGAAGATGTTTTTTCAATTCATGATTGTGTTCTAATATTCATGTGAATAAATTATTTTTATGATTTTTTTCCGAAGGTTGAACTACTGGGGCTTTGTGCCTAAAGCACCGATACATTCGGAAGGTCTCGTCAGCATCATCATCCAACAACCATTCCCCACACCGAGAGATCATTGGGTCAAATTCATTTGCCCTGAGCAGACATAATGAGCTGAGAATGACAGCCCTCTGCATTTGTGTGGCCAAAATTTCTGACTTCGTGTCCCAAGCTGGCATGATCTTGAGATTTGAGATTATATTTCACTAGGATTCCAATAACCAGAACGATCATCTCAATAGAGTGGTCTGGATAAAGTCTGCGGAGTTTGAAGAGAAAATTTAGATATTTCATCCGTTTTTCCTTCTACTTTTAGACGATATTCGCCTGACTTAGAGCTGAAAACTCCGACACGAATATTATCTTGCTATGAAGTTCGAGAAGAACTTTATCAGGGTTATTGGTTGGTGAGTCTGAGGGTGTGGAATAAATAAGTAGTTTCCATTAATTCACTTCTCGACAACAGTGTACCGTCAATACAGTAAAAGTGCCGTAGGTGGTAATGTCGCCACTTTATATCAGGGACCTCTATACTCATCACGGTAGACTAAGGTGTCATTATTATTATTACTATTATTATTGGTGTTGTTGGTTGAAAGGGAAAAGAGACCTTTCAAATAATATATCATTTCACCCCATGTTACTGAAAAAATGTGAGAGGTAACTGTTGTCCGCAGCGCCGTGAATTTCATATTGAATTTAAAAAAATTATTTCCCTGTTCTTTGAAATTTTTATTCAGCATTCGTTTCTAGTGACAGAGGAGTCAAATTTTTGTCGGGCGCCGTATATAATGTTTATGTTGCAGACGATTGGGGGGAAGAAACATGTCATGATATGATACGAATAAATGTTTCACTCTGATTAAAACAGGTACAGTATAGAAAATAAGCATATTGTGAAAAGGGGACATGAACTTTGTTCTTGTCGTGATGTCAGTGCAAACAATGTTATAATTTTATCAGTTCATACATGAAATAAAAATATCATTCATCATGATAAATTTGTTGAACATAGAACATGGAACGGCTATTCAACTGCTCGGTAATTAGAGACATGATTGAATACATCAAAGAAAAGTTACGTATTTTAGTTACAATGAAATTGTATTGAAAAAATAATTCACAACTATTATCAATTCCATGGAAAATTTAAAATATTTGGAATTATTTCCTTGTTTGGGTTTCTCATATGCTGTTTAAATTCCGTTGGAACCTACATTTCCTTCTCTAAGTTCTGAGTTCTTTACTTTTTTTACATCTCATATGAATTTTTGATTTTATATTAGATCTTTATATTCTAATTCGAACTAAAACAATTTATAAGATTCATTGAAGAGGACAGATCTGAAAGCGAGAGTGTCATTTTAGTTGCTGTTCTGTTCCTGAAATTGCAAAAAACCTGTTCTGATAATATTAGGTTCAGTTAGGTAAAACAGTCAACTATTTTGAAACGCTATATTAGTGCAGTGAAAATTGATATCTGTTTAAAATATGTTTTTTCGTTTACCAGCTGTCGCACCCCTACAAACGACAACCCTCTGAAGTCGAAACTTGTGCGAGCTAAGGACTAATAAGGTCTTACCGTTTAACGTGTGATTCCTAACACATATCAAGGAACTCACCTAAAGTAAGCCATTTAACTTAGAATTTCCGGTCTGAGAAATAACTTAGGGCTATGCAAAAGTATATTAGACTATGGTCCTGTCAGGATGGAAAATCTTGTGAACCCCTTTACAATCTACTAGCTTGTGTCAATATCAGAAGAGTGAACTGAACATTTTTTTGTGGAAATTTGTTGACATATTCGCCAGATAATATTTAAGTTTTCTCTGAAGTATCTGAACACTAGAGAACCTACGATGATGTCTGAGAAAGAAGAACATATAATGACCAACTTCTTCTTTTTGATATGATGTTCGAAAAATCATCCTTATACTAGTGTGTTTATATATATACAAGGAAGGCCCAGACTTATAGATATATTTATCATAAATCGAATAGCCAGTAAATGTATCAAGGTACAGGCAGATGCTATAACTGAATATGTTTTGAATGAAAACGCATTTGCGGACCAGTTTGTGAAAAAAGAACGAAATTGATAATGAAAGCAGTTCATATATTAGAATATACAGTCACTAGACACTCATTATCAACTGAAAAGTTGAGGCAAAATGTTTTCAGATATGAGAATGAATTCCAAACGAATACAATAAGGAAATACATATTTCGAAATAAATTTCTATTGATCTCTCCCAATTACCTACATAGTAAGCCCTACATAGTGAGCCCTGTCGGAAAAACAAATACTTCCCCGGATAATAACACGCTGGATATTGAATTATATCCGCATGACATTTATGCAAGATTCCTGACAGAGGCTAGTTTCTCAGATGTTGCTCGTTCATCCAGCAGCAGGACCATGCTGAAATTATTCGAGTAGATCACCTGCAGACCGCGGTTTCGAGGTAGTACCTCTCGTCAGTACAGGAAAGATCCTACCGAGACAGCAACATGGCTCCGCTACATATAGGCAACCTTCGTTTGAGAGAAATATTGTCAACTAGTAACAACTCCATCTCGTGAACAAAGCCCTCAGCCCTTATACCAAAACTCTAACAGAAATCAAAAGTGAGAACTATCGAGGAGAGATACATACGTATCTCCGACGTCTGTCGGAAAACAACTACTTTCCCGGCTATTATCATGCTAGATATTGAATACCTCAATAATTTCAACATGGTCGTGCTGCTGGATGAAAGAGAATCATCTGCGAGACTTGCTTCTGAGAGGAATCTTGCATAAATGTCTGTCGGATATAATTCAATATACAGCGTGGTATTAGCCGAGGAAGAAGTTGTTTTCCGACAGACGTCCTCCAACGTAGTAACGGCTACATAAATCAATTTATTGAACGTCAACTAGTTTTTGGCAAAATCTATTGTGTGTATGCGTAACAACAATTTTTGCTACCGAAGTGATTTTTTTGTTGTACTGAACGAAGAAAAAACTGATGTATGATCTATTAGATAATGTGGGATATGGAAAACTTCATCCCGAACAAGTAGTGGAAAGTGGTAGGACCTAACCTAACCTAACTCATTGCCCCGAAGAAAGAGATTTAGATCGGTATTGCGTGCAATTGCAATTTCTAGATTGAGATCGGTACTGCAAGCAATTGCAATTTCTTATTCCCGGTATTCTCATACGGAACATAAGATACAACAAAGTACTGATAAAATGTAAAAGGCTAAACAGTTACTTACCAACAGTTCTGAGTTCAGGAACAGTTTCTTCGATCTTCTTTGTTTCAACCACCTTCAAAGCAACCGTTTCTTTCTCTACATCAATTGTTTCATCAGCAACAGAAGAAGCACTTTCCGAAACCCTGTATTCGGTTTTCATTTCATTAGCGATTTTCTCTTCTGTACATTCGGGGGTTTCCTCTTGCTTCCTCCTTATAACGGGAGATCCTATTTTCAAGTCTTTTCCACTCCTACATTTTGCTGAAGCTAATATATTTTTCCTATTTATAGCTTCGACACTTGAAGGTTTCAACAAACGGTTTTGAATATTCTTCTCGTCATCATCTAGTTTTTTACCGAAAAGGTTCATTTCACATGATCTAGTTGGTGAGGGAGGAGGAGAATATCTAGAGTTGTAACTTGACTGGCTTGAACTAACAGCAGAGTCGTTGTCACTTTCATCTTCCAATTTATTTGTATGATGAGACTTTTGCAACAACTCATTACTATCTTTGACATACTTTCTCGTGGAACTGACGTAATCAAAACTGCAGTCTGATCTTGTAGGAGATGAAATACTTTCCAAAGACTTTGGAGGATTAAGATCATCCTCGTTTGATTTACTTACTTTTGAGCTAGGTTTATCACAATATTTAGGAAACTCCTGGTTGATTATACACTCACTGTTCTCATCCTTACTAATACTCGTTGGGTACAGTTGCAGACTTTTTCTCTTGAAAGCTGGAGAATATTTGGGAAGGTTGCTGGTTGAATTCGAAGACCAAGGAAGTATACCGATTGAAGGTTTCATAGATTCGGTATTATTTTTGGGTGGTGACTCGGTAACACTGAAATTACTATATAATTTTGGCACTGCTTTTGATAATTGGGTGTTCTGACTCTTAATTTCTGGTATATCTACGCAAGGTAGGACATCCGGTTCTGAAGATTCGGGTATCACGAGTCCCTTGAGTTTTGACAGCCCCTTCCTTCTTTGTTCGAATAGTTGATTCCATTTAGCGTTTTTCTGTTTTGTTAGAGCTGACATATCTATCAAGCTTTGAGATCGTGTGTGAAGAGGAGCAGGAGCTGGAATTGACTCATGTTTTAAATCATCCGATGAGTCGTACATTATGGATCGGAGTTCAGTATTCGAGGCACTAACTGACTGACAGAGAATAAGATTACTTGTTTTCGGAAAATTTACTGTAACCCTTTCCTGTGGTTCTTCGGGAACTTCCGAGGAGGAATCTGAAGAAGTTGATGGAGTCTCTTCGAAATATTTGTCGTTTAATGTTTCGTTGTGGAGTTCTATGAAATCAGGAAACTCATGTCCATCTGGTGGCTGCCTAGAGTCAGTCGGAAGAGTTGCCATGATTCCATTCGTTTCTGAAACGATAACAAAAAATGACAATATGAATGAAAAAAATAAGGGAACTTACAGTTGCACACGTTGCATACGTTCAATATGAGAACATCGAATAATATGATATCTGATCATTTTTTTGCCATTTTCATATCATTCCGATAAAAGATAAGCCGATTAGAAATATATGAAATTTCGGATATTGAAAGATTCGGACAAACAGTCTGTCAATCGATAGCATACCTCATGACGATAATCGAAAACAAACAACTTATGATCTTCTTTCAAGAATACACCCACTATATTATGTGAATGTTACGCCTTTTTTAGTCACCTTCACCTTTGCAAATATTCAATGAATACTGAAAAAATAGTTTACAAGTGACTAGTGACTTCATCGACTGGTTGAGCGAGAAATCAAATAGATCCATTTGAATTATCAAGTAATGAAAGTGGATAAAATCTGGAGTTTGAACAGTACCTATCAATTTCCACTTTTTATTACATTTATCTCATTTTCATTTATCATTGAAGGAAACAATAATAATGGACTAACAATACTCATCATTTTAAGTGAAGTTTTACGGATTTCTAAATTTCAATAACAACAATGAATCACGACAAATCCATAATATTATTCCTTCACATGAGATATATTTTCATGAAGTTATTGAAAATATCTATATAAGGATCTACAAGGAGGATTTGAGCAAAGGGACCGAACAAAATTTAATATTTCCCATAATAATAAAAAAACTCTCAAACTTTGATGTCATGGAAGTTTTGACTGTCATTATGTTATTATTATTATTTTTTACCGTAGTATGCGCTGGTCAGACCCTATCCCCCGAAGCCCCGATACATTCGAGAGGGCACGACAGCATTATCAACCAACGACCACTCCCCACACCGTGGGGTAAGTGATCATTGGGTCCAAGAATCATGTGACCTGAGCAAGCGCAGTGAGCCAAGAATGAGAGCCTTCTGCATCTGTCCGGCTAAAATTTCTGCCTTACTGCGGCAAGCCGGTATGATTTTGAGATTCGAGAGTAGAGGGCATCATTCCACCAAGGACTCCAATAATCAGAATAACCATCTTGACAGAGTGGTCTGGATAGAGTCTGCGGAGTTCGAAAAGAAGATCTCGATATTTTATCAGTTTTCCCTCCTCTTTTCGGACGATATTAGTCTCTCCAGGAGCCGAATACTCCACGACAAATATCGTCTTGCTCTGGTAGTTGAGAAGGACTACCTCAGGCTTATAAGCTTGTATGAGCCTGATATATTATCATTATTTAGAAACAGTATTTTCGTGACGTTTATAAAATTCAACCTTGGTATTTTAACAATACATGTTCAGTGTTCCACTTGATTAGTGGTTTCCATATGTTGCATATCGCTACGCTAGCTTGACTAAATGCGTTGTTGGACAACATACATGCGGCTTCTTTGAATTTTTTCCTGAACCAGTGTTCTTCCTTGTGGATGATTTCAGCTTGAGCCCACTTGTTATGTTGAGAGTCCAAACGTGCTCTGCTATCCCTGATTTGCTGGTTTCTCCTCACTGTGTGTGTTTCTTATGCTCGGCAATGCGAAATTTCAATGGCCTCTTAGTTTCACCCATGTATGATTCTCCGCACTCGCAGGGTATCCGGTAAATGCAATTCTTGGAATCGCAGTCCGCGTTTGGTGGCCTGGTTTTCGTGAGGCTGCTACGGATAGTGTTCCCTTATCTGAAGCAGGTTCTGATGTTATACTTGGAACCAATCCTTCTTATCCTTTCCGACAATACTCTGATGTAGGAAAGTACAAGTCCTGGTTGTGGCGGCTTCTCTTCCTTGTGGAGCTCTTGCTGTCTTCTATAGCTAAAGCCTGTTCTATCATCACTTTGGAGTAACCATTTCGTTGAAGGTCATTTTTGATGATGCCTAGTTCCTTTTCGAGACCTTCCTTTGTATCACAGAGCCCGAAAGGACGGTCTAGTAGAGTCTTGATGGTTCTTCTCTTAGTCGATTGATGGTGGTTGGATTCCTGGTTCAGATACTGTCCTGTGTGAGTGGGTTTTCGATATACAGATTTCGTGTCGGCCCTCTTCACCAATACGTCTAAGAATGGCACGTCAGGACTGATCAACATAACATCAAGTGGGCTCAAGCTAAAATCATCCACAAGGAAGAACACTGGTTTAGCAGAAAATTCAAAGAAGCTGCATATAGGTTGTCCAACAACGCATTTAGCCAAGCCAGCGTAGGACACGCAACATATGGAAACAACTAATCAAGCAGAACACGACCAACTTCCGCCAAACGGTCAGCTTTCGCTAAAACTGATGAAGCGAAGAGAGGAAAGTGGGGATAGATAAAAGAACTCGAATGACATATAAATAGTCAGATCTGAGGAATAAGTCTAGTTATTACCCGAAGACGATTGTGGATACTAACAATCGAAACGTCGTAAATTACCTTGGTTTGGAATCTTCAATTTTCATTTCTTGTTAATAATTTTTAATTTTCATCTCGTGTTAGCAGTTTAATTTTCTCATTTATTTTTTTGTTGTTGCTTGTATTTTATTTCATCGTAATTTCAGTTTTTTTTCTTGATATTATTATTATTTTTTCAGCTAATCTTTTTAATTTTATTGATTCTTTCTGGTATATCAAATCAGTTTATATCATATTAGACAATGGAAGTCCGAACTAATGAAATGCATCTTCATACCTCACCTAGGTCAAGGTTGGTGTCAAGGTCATTTTAGAATTCTGTACAATGCTTTTTGTAATGAGCTGTGAGACGAAACTTTGAAAATAGGCCCAATTGTTGTTGACAGAATAACGAGTCATTTCTGAAATTTATTTATTGGAATTATTGTATAAAATTTGTTTTCATAAAATTTTCAACGCAACAAATCCAAATATTGAAATGGTGTCTTGTAAATACATAACAATATTCGAAATTTTGCAAAGCGAATGACTGAGGGTATAATATTTTTATGGAATCCCGACACCGTGGATCCAGAGATTTTATCTCAAATTATCATACACGAAAGCATTTGCCTGATACAAAATTTTTAAAATTATTAGATTCCACGCATTGTGATCGATTGAACTTGATGTACGAGGGATATATGAACTTGATTTTGAAATCCAGATTTAAGGATTTATGTGAAATATGAGCGCCGATTTATGGTTATTTAAATGGTATTAATAGGTCTAGTCTAGTGGATTTAATCGCTGATAAACCCTATCATTCAACTATTTCATCGTTCACTTGCATTATCATTGTTATATTTGCTGAATATTGTAGAAAATATGATTCTTCAGTTTCTGCTGTCTTGAAGCTTTAAAAATTTTAAGAATAGAGATAATAATACATGGTTCAGCCAAGGGTTTTTTTTCTCAGTCTCAACCTATGCTGTAAAATCTAGCATTCAGCAAACATACGAAAGCTGTATAATACTATTATAATGAAAATAATAATATTACGCGTGACGCTTTGGTTTGTGAAGAAACTTAAATTTATTTTCTCGTGCGATAGTTTTATTGTCACGATAACTCCTAGTTAATGATATAATGTGCATGAAATGCTTGAGGTAACTAACGTATTCAATTTATTGATATCATATTCGTCCAAATAGCCTTCCAATTATAACATTATATGTGACCAATTGAAAGGGATAATATTTTTGTATATAGTTCAAACAACACCTTGATAAATTGTATACATAAACCTCCCTTTTGAATCACTTCGTCCATTGGTGAAAATCGAGAAAATCCCATTGGTAGTTTTTGAGTAGAAAGAGTTCAGACAAATAGACAGGCAGACGTGGTAGAGTGATCCTGTGATGCTGATCAACGGTTGGGCTGTTTATACTTAGCAGCGATTTCACAATTACTCATTAAGGCCAACTTGGGGTTATGATCATGAAATTTAGCGACATGAAATTCGAAAAGAAGGATTGTTAAGGCGTTGTCAAACAATTATCATTATTATTATTCCGCAAAACATCACGTTCAATTGAGCATGGAATATTTTGAATTTGGACACAAATTCTATTAGTGAATGAAGACATACATACTGTTGTGATGATTAACGATCACAAAATACAATAATAAAAAAAGTAGGACGTAGAATTTCAAAGTGGGGCATCATTAAGTTGGGTTGAAATCACCCTATCAGTGGGTTGAAAACAGAGCAGATAAAAATCTCAAACCATATATAGCTGGATTATTTTTCTTTATTGTAGTGAAAATAGTAAGGGTGTGAAATCAACACATTTTGTCAACCCCTTTTCATTTCGTATATCAACGACTTATTGGAAAAAAAAACAAGAAACCGAAATATTGCTTTTCTGACGACAGCACACTTGTCTCGTCATTCCATTTGGATTTCCGTACATCAGCTGCGGATGCACATCTTTACCGGCAGCAGGAGGCTGACTATTTAAATGAGGATCTCGATTTCGAATTGGGGTGAAAGTAACCAGGTTCAATTCGATGTCAGGAAAATCCAGGCATCGGTTTTCCCCAAAAAGATAAATGTCTCCGAGCCGAATATAACAATATCAGGATAGACAATTCCGCTTTCTGCTTCGATAAGTTTGTTGGGGGTTAAAATGGACACCTATATTTCTTGTTACAATCATGTCGATGAAATTGCAAAGGTTGCTTCTCAAACGTTTGGAACACTGTTCCGAACCAGAAAACTGTACACACCTCTGCAAATTTTGGTGCTTCATAAAGCCCAGACCAGGTCTTCTTTGGAGTATTGTTTTCAGAAAAGAGCCATTTGCCTGATTGGAGACGGGAACATCACTTGCAACTTTGATAGTCTGGATCGAAGAAAGGTTGGGTATTTGTCTCTCTTCTATACATACTTTCACGAGAAGTGTTCTAATGACTTGGCACATTTGATTCCAACAAGGACGGTACATATCAGAAATACACGACGAACTGTGACTGCTCATCGCTTTGAGGTTCAATTCAGTACACCTCGAACTTCACTATTTGAAGACTCTTTCATTTGGAGAATTGCGTTTATGTGGAATAAACTTCCTGAGAACGTTTTTCCAAATGAATTCAATCTCCAGCGATTCAAATCCAACGTAAATCGCTACTTTTGCAAAGGCGCCGCCTTAGAGCGCCTTAAGGTTTTTGTTTAGTGATTGTGGTTTGTCCTTAAAAAAAAAGAGGGAGTTACCTTACACTTTTCGCGATAAACATTAGAAAATAACGGCATATTTCCACTCCGTGAAAGCTGTGAAACTCCAATCGTTAGTTTCCGAGTTGAAAGAGTTCAGACAAAAAGAATATGTGCAAGTAAAAAGCAAATATTTTTTAAGGAAGGTGCCAAATGCAATCAAAACATGTTTTCGTCTTTCTGCGATCCTGATCAAAAGTTGTACTGTTTATATTTTGGAGCGATTTTTCAATTGTTCATTATGGCCAACTTGGAGTTATCATTTTATTATCATGTAGTTTGGTAACTTGAAATTTGAAAAGAAAGATTGTTAAGGCGTTGTCAATTAATTATTTTTACGTAAAACATCACATTCAATTAAGCATCGAAAATTTCGAATTTGGACATGAATTCTACTAGTGAAATAAAGACACACATACACAAGAAATACCGTTGTGATGATAACCGATAAAAAGCAGACTCAATCGAAAAGTATAATGTAGAATATCAAAGTGAGGCCTCATTAAGTTGGTTGAAATCACCCTGTCATTGAGTTGAGAACAAAGCAGATAACAATCTCAAAACAGATATTGATGCATTATTTCTATTGTTTACTGTAGTGAAAAACTATTAAGGGAATGAATTAACACATTATGTCAAAAGGTAGTTGCATAAAACTTTTCGCGATTATATTTGTCAAAACCCAACCGAGTATATTGATGCATCACTATAGCTGTTTGAACAATTACAAGTTGATTTGAGAATGATTAATTGAGGATAAAAAGTCAATGATATTAACTGAAATCTATGTCGTTGCAGAAACTTTCAAAATGTTTCGTTAGTTTGTGTTTATTGTCCTATGCAATTTCTTCATGGTTATTGTTAGTAAAATTCTTTGTTCCGGAACAAAAGTCATTAAAATCAAATATCAAAATTAAAATATTCTTACCACAATGTGTCGGTTTATTATCCAATATGAAGCACAGTAAATCATAACTACTGGATCATAACAATAACTTTTAACTGCACTATATAGGTGTGTAGAACGTTTCTTGTTGTAAGACGGAATCGAACTAAATGGCAATCAGAAGTCTCAACTCCAGCAACATGCAGCGAAATCTCTTGGAAATAGACTAGTAACACCGCGAAAATAATGCCTGCTTTCGATAAGCTATTGTTCAAAAGAGAACCAATAAAGATTTTATGGTTTTTACGGCGTGTTACTCCAGCACCTGGGGGCGTACACTCGACAATTGTTTCAAAGAAAAAAGGCCGTCATAACTTATCCCCACTACGTTCAAGGAAGCGAAGTACGGAGCAAAGGAAGTTTGTTTATTTTTCGGTAATTGTCGATGATGTTAGTTGGGGTTTGCACAAGTAAAAGAGACTAACTGAATTGGAGGTGGGGAATTTGCGAGAACAGAGCACAAGCATCAGGTCAGTGGACGGTGAGTCAAGGGCATCAGGCTTGCTATGGTATGGATTGTCGATCACATTGTAACTGCATTTTACCTTGTTCAATGGCAGCAGCAAACCTTAAGTTGAAAGGATATAGAACATCAATCTACTATACGGGGGGAGTCGTTTGAATCGGGATTTGAAGACGTCAATTTTAATTGAATCATTAAACGTAATTTGTGACGTTGATTTACCGGCGACTGCTACATATTCATAAGCGGCAGTCACACATACTAATCACCTATATTCTTCTACCATTGAAGAAAATGTATAGTGTGAAAAGTTTCTAAGACACACCGATTTTAATATTGATATTATATTTGCATGGACATTTTTGGTGTTATCAGCTCAACCTCAACGAATTGAAGTTTCCCGCCGTGTCTATCTGAACGCGATAAACTCAAAACCTACAGAATAGATGGTCATACGATTTTCACTTAATGGAGGGAGAAATTTTTATGTGAAGAATATTTCAATGTTTTGGGTCATTTAGTTGAAATAGGATGATATTATCCTTGAGATATCGGGGTAAGGGTGCTTTCTTGCGATATGGTGACATTGAGTGGCAGGTGGTTATTGACATGAAGGTTTTTAGCTAAGAAAGGGGGTGACTTCAACCAAAAAAATCTATTTTTCGATCGAAGTGTGAAGTATTTTCGCTTCCACGAAGTGTGGAGACTTGTTTTTTAATGACCTCATCCGCTATTTGATTATTGAATTCAATTGTCAAGGAAGAGCCGAGTCGTCATTGAAAAAAAAACACAGTGAATCAGATACAAGGTGAAAAACTACAAATGAATCTCTATTGATGTTATAGTAAGATAGCTTATTAGGAAACTTTAGTGCAACATTGAATAAAAGATTTAAATGTTGCAAGAAAGAATTCTTGAATGCGAGTTGTGTAGTCTGTCACAATGTTTTCCACTTCAGTTTTTTAGATAAGAGAAAAACTCATATAAAATTGTCCGGGCATATAATTTACTGCTCGAAAGAATATCAATCTACGGAAAATTATGAAAACGAAAAACTTAATACTCTCTCAGACGAACCCAGAAAGTTGAAAAGTGACAATAAAGAAAAAGTAAAATCCCTTACAAAGCTGATGAAGACTTCTCAGTCATGTGAAAGAAGTTTTTGAAGATTTATGAAGAAAATATAATACCTTCAATATAAAAGGGTAATAGCTGATGAAAAAAAGAAAGAAATAGCTGAGTAGAAAAATGAAATAGCAGAACTAATTGGGAAGTTATCATTATTGAGAAAAAAAATTGTTGGCATTAACAAACACCACACAGAAATCGAAGCATTGAAAAAAAAATTGGAAAAGAAACTGGAAGTTGAGAAGGCCACCTTTAACGAGAACTCACAAGAAATCAAAGATGATAGAATAAAACCAAAACTCGAAAATGCAGAGCAAATGAATAGACGACAGCAAACCTGTAGTATTTTGCACTGCAGTTTTGAACTTTGCCTTTTGGTAGTTATATCCTATCTCGCCCAATAAAAACCATTATTATCATTATTATTATTATGAAGAACAGTTCGAAAAAATATGAAAATGAGATAGGAATTATCAATAAAAAAATTTGCCTTGGAGTGCTGAGATCTTTGAGGGAAATGACACACACAACTCTAGATACTATCCAACAAAAACTAATTAATAAAGTTTATTGTATGATTTCCACTGAAGTGAAAATCATACAATAAACTGTACTAATGAGTTTTAATATGGATTTTCATCAAGTATCGGCCAGCTGCTCCATTCAACTATCCAACAAGAAAGAAGAAATATAAAATGAAAAAACAATAGGCAGAAACAGAGTCAGGTCGATGTATATAAAAACAAAACTAGGAACGAAAAAAGGAAAATATTAGTTACTTTTGGGCATCATGCTAAGGGAATGGGGGAAATTTTGACCAGCTTAACGGAAGAATATTCTGTTTCATCTATTGTAAAACCTTAAGCTGCTGATGAGATAGATACTGCAACCTCTTCTGTAAAAATCCTTCACCAAAAACACCAAAAACAAAAGATTGCAGCACAGATATGTCTTGAAAATCTCGGAACTTTATTGGTATGACTTGAATATCAAATCAAATACGGAAATGATTTGCGAATAATGAAAAAAACCTTACTCTAACAGTGAACAACTTCTGTTTTTGGAGTATTATAACTTGTTATTAAAAAACAGTTACGTGAGAATTGACTATAACTTGAAAAAATCTGTGAAATATGTCACAGACAAAACAATACTTAACTCGCTGAAAGAAATAGAAAGAAAACAAAAACTGCAACAAGAGGCACATTCAATATGGAAAATGGGTTCTCGAAAAGATGAAACAATCCTGGAGTTGACCAAGGAGTGGAACAACCCAAATGATTCCGCCGAGCAGAAGAGGCTATCCAGTACGGTCAAGAAAAATTATCTTACAACTCCTTTTTCTTACTAAGCGATTCAGAAGTTATGAATCGCTTAGTAAGAAAGCGTGTTAGGAATCACACGTTAAAAGGTAACACCTCGTTAGTCCTTAGCTCACACAAGTTTCGACTTCTGAGGGTTGTCGTTCGTAGGGGTGCGACAGCTGGTTTAACGAAAAAACAGATTTTTTTCATTATTACATAATAATTTAACCACGTTTTTTTTTCAATATTTTTCATTATATTTTCAAATGGAATACTCAATAATATATTCAAGCTGTGAAAAGTTTCTTTCAAAAGCTCTGTTAAAAACTATGTACGAACATACCTATCGGTTTTAATAGTTCAATAGCTTTTCAAAAAATTCTGATCATTAAACTCCTCTTGAAAAACTTCGGAAATGAAATTTCATAGTGTAATGGATTCGAAATAAATTAATAGATCAACATTTTCAGGAATATGAAAGAAATAGATTTTTGAGTTTGTTTAGGGGTTCAGTTTGTTCAAACTAGATATCAACTAGACTGTTATTGAAAACAAGAAGTCATGCAAATTATTGGAAACGCTAATGGAAAAGTAATTTCCAAAAGATTTCACATCGTTAACTGAGTTTATTTGGGATCAACAGCACCGAAAAAATTTTGAATACAGGTTTCCTATAAAATTACATCGTGGAACCTATGAAATAATATTAGGCTTCCTGCCAAAAAATGGGTTCTCAAAGCTGTTTCATCATCGGCATTTTTTACGAGTAAGTTGTTTCACTATCAAATTATAATTTGACCAAAAACTGGGTTGAGCACAACTCGAAAACAATTTTTCCTATTTTTTTAATATTTTTTGGATTCGATTTCCTATAGAAAAGCTTACTGGAAGTATAGAGATGAATAAGTAGATATATACCTACCAGTTCAAATTTGCCAAATTCCGAACACAAATTAATTGCAAAAAAAAAATTAAGAACGATTGAGCTTTTTATTATTGAATAGTAATTTGACTGAGATACTGGAGATTCGAATGTTTGAAAACATTCCTGAAGACGACCTGAAGATCTTATAATTTGTCTTAAATTCATTTCTTTCGAAAAAGATACATTTTCTGAAAATATTTTCGTTATAACTTTCGAAATGCTAGGTATTCACCTATACAATCCCATAAATTGAAAAAAAAAATTCAAACAGAAATTACATCTCAGGTTTCATTCACATTAGGTTGTGGTGAGATTATTGGGATATCTGAAATATCTTTTTAAATGAAGTTTTTTTATTTGATGTTATTATATAGGCATACATTTAGGATCGCTCAGTTTATCCTGTTCTTTTAGATAATTTGTTATCCATAAAATTTTGTATTTTTATAAAATACTTTTCTGACGGAAACAGAATATTTAAAAAAATGTAACTTTAGTAAATCACGCTTCTACTTGGTACCTTGTATACACCTACCAAAAATAGACAAAAAAAAATTGAGCCGTTTCGAAGGAGTGCGACTACAAACACCGTGATACGAGATTTTTATATATTAGATGTTAAACATTTATTTGTAGATATTTTTCAGATGGATAAATGAGCCAAGATGGAATATCAAACCACTCTTTCTGAGCCACCACTCTATAATCCAATATTGTTTGAAATGTAAGGATACGTTAGAGTATAATAAACATTGAAGAGATGAGATGTATTCAGAGATGACCGAAATTGAATGAACAAGAAATGAAAGCGAAGCAAATGAAGTAACACTTACTCAATTTTCTTCAGGAGCAGGCACAGGTAACAGCTCTTCAACTAGCGGTAGTCGAACTGAATGAACAATTCACAGAAGCGACGAGTGTGACATCACATAGGCAAATCGAAAATTATGCACTTGAAGATATATCAAAGTATGTTAGATAGAGCACGCACTTCCAGAACTCATTGTGATTGAGATTTTATTATCTTAATCATTTGTTCATGCATCCAACCTCAACCATTAAGATATCGAAATTAATTAATGGAAATGTATGTTTTCCACATTGAACATTCTTATGCGTTTGAGATTGTTTAGAGCGTTTTTATTTGATAAATTTAGCATATACTTTTCTATGGAGATGCATAAAAAGTTCAGAAAAACTCTGAAGATGCTTTGAGAAAGTGAAAGATAACGGCGCCTGTATGAAAAATCTTGATTTACTTTAAATTGGAACCTGCGATTATATTCATTTGAAAAAACGATTAATAAATATGCTAGAAATATGTTTAAAATCTGTTTTTCCGTTAACCAGCTGTCGCACCCCTACGAACGACAACCCTCAGAAGTCGAATCTTGTGCGAGCT